TTTCTCTCTTTCTCACTAATACACCTTACGGTCAATTATTCTGTTCGTTTAATTCATTATATTACCTATTAGAAGAAAATGGAATGATAGGTCAGTAGCTATTATCTATCACATGAGAAAAAAAATGCCGAATGTCTTCTTCCGATTAAAAAGACACGATAAAATGGTAACATGCCGATGTATACATTAACTATGTCTATCTCTATTATAGAGTTTTAATTATATTCAACAAAAATAGAATAGAAAAACCTATTGTAGATAGGATCAAAAATAATATTTTATCAAATGTACAGAGGGGACACACCTCTAATGATCTTAAATGTGGCATTCTCTTTTTTTATCTACAAAGATATTCTTCTTTGTAAACAAGCTTGAGAGACTACGGCAATCTGTCCGTAAATAATAAGTCAAAACACATCCAACTATGAGTTGAATAGTCTACTCAGTTTTTTTACTCTTCTTTTAGTTGTTCTTCTCATCATTTGAAAAACGATTGATCGATCGTTCGAATTTAATCAGACTTTTAAGAAACTTGAGAATGATCTAGAAATCATTATTTTAGAACAAAATATCGTACATACATTGAATGATCAAGTTTCTGTTTTCAATGAATCAAGAAGCATTAGGTTTAGGATTAGTATTCAAAATACTATCATACTCGTAACCTTTTTTTCGTATTTCAAATGAATCTCACATTGAAAAGTATAGTTTCTGTTTTATCATCGATTCATACAAGACTTATTATTCTATTCAAGAAATTTTATTTCAATTATTTATAGGTATTGATTAATTTATTTATTATTTTATTTAAATTGCTACTTATATAATTATTATAACTTGTTTCTACCGCTAGCTAATTAAAAGCAGAGAAAATATAAACTTTTATGATTGATGACAATACTTAACCAACAATAATAGTGACGAACGATAAAAAACTATCAGACATAGGAGGTTAAACATGAGAAGATTGAAGAACCATCGATAAACAGAACCATCATTTCTATCTGTCTATCTACCTTATAAAAGAAATGAAGAAGAAGAAGAAGAAATAACACACACGCTAGCTATAATAGGAAGAAAATAAGCGGAACTATTTAATGTACTAATTGCTGCTTGAGTAACAATTCTTTCGTATTTCCTGTGAAAATTGATTATAGAAAAAAAAAAAATAAGAGATCGAATCCATATAAAAAAAGAGAAGAAGAGGAGAAAAAAACGTTTTATAGGATTACCTGTTAAAGTGAAGAAGAGAGAGTATAGTTTGAATAAAAGTAAAAGAAATAAAAGATCTCTTTTATGCGCGAAAGAGATAAAAATACAGAAAGAGAATGCAAAGCTATTAGTAGATACTATATTAAACGTTAAGACAATTTGTTAATAGGATACACCACTTCTGTACATGGAAAAATATTTTCTTAAATGAAATAAGCAAGATATCTACAAACAGGTATGTGAAACTAAAAATCAAAACGTGTGTGTGTGTGAGAGAGAGAGAGAGAGAGAGAGAGAGAGAGAAACACACTGTCCATTTAATCACTTGTATTTTGACATATTAATTATTTTTATTCTTCTTCAGTTAACTCAGTGAAAAAAGAACTTTTTACTATATAAACTTTTTTTAAACTGAATGGGGGATTCTTTTTGCTTTCACTGCACACACGTGATGGTATTCTTTAAATTAAATTTAAGATTTGTTGATATACAATGTCGCTTTGTTACAAATGACATGTTATTCACTCAATTCATATATATGTACTTTTGCAAACATTTGGATTGAAGACAGTTTTATATAAACGAGAATATTCGAGGTAGTTCGAAGTAAGCGTACTAATTTTTAGAATCGAAAACAAAGATCATTTATTTTCAAAACGCCTTTAAAATGGTATCATCTTTATATGGAAATAACCGTTGTGTTAAGCGTATATGCTCTTGTAAGATTTAACCCTGCAATTTTTAAAAAAAAGAATGAATCTTCTATGTTTGCCATCAATTATCATTAGACCAAATTTCCCCTTTTTCTTTTTTTTTTCAAACGGTAATTTGAACATTGGTGATTTTGTTCTTGAGTGCTTTTTACTAAACAATTAGTAACAATTAAACTTGCTTATTTTTCCGTTTTGTCATACCTGTGAACATGTATTATATACGCTGTTATAAGACGAACCATCTTTCTCAACCTGATAATTTATGTAAATGGATGAATTTAAGCAGGAAGCAAAGTCAAATACAGAGTACATTTAAATATATGTATATATAGAGAGATATAAGAAGAGGGTGAGATAGTTAATTGCTAGAAGAAGAAAAAAAAAAAACAGTTAACAATAATGAACATTAAAATAGTCGTTTGTTTGTAATGGAAACCTGAGCAGGTGGCTTAATTGTGGCTAAAGGCGTTCTTTTTTTCATAAAAAATTTTCATACTCTAACGGAATTATAGTGCAAAGCAGACTGCAGTTTCTCTACTCTTTCTTCTTCTCCACAGATTTTAGAATGTAAAACAGCGTGGAGATGGGATGCCAAGAGATTTCCATAATTTTAACGATTTATTTATATGAATTTGTCATATAAAATCCCTGCGTATCTTTGACTCCTTTTTTTTTTGGTTTATTATGGACATGTATTTAATGAATTATAGAGAAACGAACTCGAGTCGTTTTTAATTTCTCAAGCTTATTTCTGATGCCGGTATGCCAAAGTACATAAAAGTAGAAAATTCTATATATAATTACTGGAAGAATATACTTCGATAATTACTTTCAGTATGATCTAGTTTAAATTAATTTAGTTTTAAATTAAATTCAAGAGAGATCAATTAACTTTTAGTTTTTCCAAAAAAATTCGTCCCACATCCTTTAACTTGCTTAACTGTCTGTGGTTTGCTTCATGCATTTATACTAAAAAAATAAATAGAAGAAGACAAGTATTTAAACGATTTACTAAAAAGACATGAACAGTTCTCTTATTTTAGATTGATTATATTATTGATTTTATGCCTACAAAATCACAGTTCAAATATGGCTCTAAAAAAAAGAGATGTTTTATAACTCTGAGCGCTTCATAATTTGAATAATATAGAGTTATATCCATCTATCTAAATATTAATTATAGATCCTACACTTTGAAAAACGGCCTTCTTCATCGATATATTTTATTTCATTCGGGCGGTTATATATTTATTTCTTACATATACAATAATTTTAAGAGAAAGACAGATGATTTTCTGTGTTTTCAGTGATTTTTAGTTTTAACGATGATGATGATGAAAAAGAAAAAGAGAGAAACAGAATAGAACACGAATGATATTTATTTATCTTTCATCCAATCAATAAATTAACCGTCTATACTAGATTTGATTTGTTCACTTTAGACATTTTTTTTTGTATTCGAATTCTCTTATTCATTATTTGACTTTTTAAATGCTAAATAGGATTAAACTATTTCATCTGATAGAAGTCTTTTTATTTAGTCTAAATAAAAAGATCAATACAGCTTGGCCAGCTAATTCTGCTATGAGAGTGATATTCCGTCACGGTCTTTTTTGCCTTTTCTTTCCGCTTATAATTTTGAACAATCAGATGTCCCAAGCTCTAGAATGTCTAAGATTAAAGAGAAATGTGTGCTGACTTCGAAATATATTCACACTCTCTACACTCTCTTTCAGATAAGAATACAGAAACCTTTGTTTTTTTCTGATAAATTCTGAAAATGTTCACATATTTTCTGAAAGAGAGATCATATAATACATCTCAAAGTCTTCAGCACATATTTCACTTTAATCTTAGACATCCCAGAGGTTGGAACATCTTGATCGTTGGATACTTATAAGAGAAACAAAATACCAAAATAAGAAATATGACAGAATATCACTCCGATAGTAAAGTTAGCCGATCGAGCCGAGTAGTTAGTTAACATTTTCTCGTTATACATGACATAATGAAAAGTAAGATCTATGATTTATTCGTTCATTTCGAAGTTTAGTTTTCAAATAGAGAGACTCTTATAAGAACAAATTATGTGATAGCATTGACCTCAAAAGTTTTTAAGAATGTCAAAAGTGCAATTAATCTTTTGTTTTCTATAGAGGATTTTTCTAGTAATAAATGTGCATGTTTGTTCATTTTAAAATTCAGTTGATTCTTCTATAGATGTGAGTATGCTGTTATTTAGTAATATAGTAATAATTAAAAGGATTTTTATTAAGATGTAATAGTCTTTCATTATTGTAAGTAACAAAGGAAGAATATCATATGAATAATGAATGATAGTTAGTCTATTAAGTTAAACGATGAAACAATTTTTATGAATATTTTTACCTCTCTTAAAAGAATAAAAAATACTAAATTAGAATAATTTATCGACATTAGAACGTTTATGAGGTCGAAAAACAGGTTTGCTTTTTCTCTTTTAATATAACATGGAGAGCTTGAGGGCTTTCTTATTTATGAAAAAGAAGCGAGAAAAAAAAAATTATCTATCTCTCGTGATATGAAAGATAAGAGAACAAAAAATTAAAAATTAGACGATTTATCATTTATATACTAGTAAGATTACACATTGTAGTAATTTGTTAATAGTTCATACGAGAACAATGTTTAACTAGAGTCACTCTAGAATTAAATTGATCGAGAAAAAGAACGAGTAATTATATCAGAGAAATTAATAAGATGGCAAAGCGAGAGAATAAAACTAAACGGACAAAATAAAATTTTTTTTTTTTTTTTTTTTTTTCATTTTTAGAAATAACATATCAGCCGTTCAATTAAATAAAACAAGAACATATTTAATGCATGGATATTAAGTTTAACCAGCCATTTCTATTATATTGCTAAATCACTTTGATAAGCAACGTTTAAAGACATGTGTCGTTAATCTACTCCCAAAGTTATCAACTTATATCATTTCTTCTCAATAAAAAAATTTGATTTTAATTTTTTGCGACGATCAATTCTAGTATACTACCTATACTCTATTTATTTTTAGATTTCAATTTATTTAATATGATGTCAATTACGTCTGATTACTTTCAACGTTATTTACAACCAACAAATACATGGCCATTACCATTTTCCATTTCTTCCTCATCAAATTCAATTGTTTGTACGAATCCTACACGAAATAAATTTCGAACAAATCTATCAGCGAGAACAACCCGTTTTTACATCGATGATATATTGGGAATTTCGAATGTACAAAAGGCAGCAACTTTGACAAGTAACAATAATATCGGCGATGATAATGGTATTTGCCATTGTTCAACAAAACATAGAAAAGGTACTTATAAGTAATAATTTATTTTGTCTCTGTTCTGTGAATCTGTATATGTACTGAAAATTATTGCAAGATAATAATGTTAATCGAGATAAAATTATAGATTATCGATTAATTTTATTTTTAGATCAATGTTATTTAGAGTCGAATAGTGATGGTGGTGAACCGCCTAAAAAACGTAAAAAAGCTCGTACAACATTTACTGGAAAACAAATATTTGAATTAGAAAAAAAATTTGAAGATAAAAAATATCTTTCGTCAACGGAACGATCCGAAATGGCTACACTATTAACGGTCACAGAAACACAGGTAAATCTTTTATATTAAAAAGGATATTTTGAAGATTTTTTGATTCCTTTCTCTATTTAGGTTAAAATTTGGTTTCAAAATCGTCGAACAAAATGGAAAAAACAAGAAAATATTTCAAATGCTGAAGCAGGTAAACATATTCATATGACCATTATACCAGTTTTAAACTCATTAACCTTGTATTCCAGCCGAACATAAATTGGGTACACGAAAAACGTCCACTTCTACCTCATTATCATTAGATATTAATCGTATTTCATGTTTTTCAACATCAAATGGAACAAATGGCATGAGCAGTAGTCGTAGTAGTAGCAGTCACAGTAACAGTAGTGGTGGTGTAAGATCAAATATTTCAAATGGAGAAGATAATAATATGTCCCATTTTTGTTCTCAACACACATTAGATGACGGATGTCTCGCTTTATCAATCGAACAACAACCGTCTCAGCTTCCTCGATCGTCATCATCATCAAATGAAAGTAATCAAGTACAAATGCCATTGTCATCACCACCACCAACAACAACACCGGACACTCAATCAAAAAGACAACAGATCAACGATTTTTGTCTTTCACCAGACTCAAAAACAAACACATTAAAATCATCCCATAATGACTTTGAAAAAAGAGTAAAAACTGATTTTATATTAACTAATGATGCTATGGACAACACATCGTACTAAGTAGTTGTTTTTATGTTTAGTGGTGTGTCGGAATTATTAGTAGATTTTTTTGTTTAAAATAATGCATATTTTCTGTAATAGCTTCATCCAAAAGGGGTTCAGTCCATCAGTATCATCTGCCTCGTCATCCAATGGAAAAAACTTCCTGTTTTATGTCATATTTTTCGTAGCATAGATTTTGATACACGAGAAATAATAAACTATATCAGAAAGAGAGCGCTATCGTTGTGCAAATATAAGATTGTATCAATTACTTGCTTAAGTTGAGCATACTGTGATAAGCACCAAGTGGTTTAATTACCTCACAGAAGAAAAACAACGAAGTTCTATAAAATATGTTCGTCTTTCGGACCAGTTATACGATAGTTAAAATCCATAATAAAAAATAATTTTTAAATGATCGATAACGTAAATTTTTTAATGATAAAAATAGCACCACTTTTATTACTATTAGATTACTTGTTTATATTTGTGGTTCAATATCATCGTTTATAATCAAGATATGTCAGGAACCAAAATCAACGCAGTTTTTTGATTTTTATGCTCAATGTGACAGTTTGTCTTTAATATTTGCTCTTGACGTATCTCAGACATCATTTATTCTTCGTCCGATACGTTAGCACGTCAAAATTGTATGTGGAGGTGTGTTTCTGTATTGCGTGGATATGTGTCAATGTATGTAAGTGTGTTCATAAGCAGGACTCTGCAGATTAAATCTAAAAACCAATTTTGAACGATCACATTTGGATCGCCAATACTTTGAGTAATAAAGTGTAGTCTTATTGGGTCGCATAACTGACACGAACAATACCAGATATTCCTCTCTTGTCACACTGTAAAAAATAAAGTGTGCCCGATGTACGATGGAATTGCACATCACTTTGGACTCAAAATACCTACTGAAGATAGCCTGTTCAGTGTGCCCAGAACACACTGGAAATTGCTTATTTAAGCAATTGCACATCATTTTGGACTCGAAATGCACACTTGGAGGAAAACACACTAGCGGGCAAACATTATTTTTTACAGTGCACGAGCTGAGACTTTCGCACACTTTCGCTTAGTACTAATCGCACCAACTTTTACTTGTACTAGTCGAACGGATGTAATTCAGAAGCCGTTAATCGCTCAATCCATAAAATTCAGACTCAGGTTCTCGAGTTTAAACTGTATTATTTTTATACTGAAAAATGGCACACTCAAAAAAGGAATTACAGAGAAAAAGCTCACATTTGCTAAAAATAGATGAAGAATATACAACAATAACAGAACCTTCGTCGTGTCGAGAGCCTAAAGTAAAATTCTGGTCTACTCGTAAGGTGGTCCTCCTATTCAGAAAGCTGTTTTCCAAACACCCCATTAAAGAATAAAAGATTCAACCGATTCATTTCTTTATTTATTTAAAATATGATGTGATTGTATAAGTTTTTGCTATTTAGGTTACGAAAAATATTAATAGGCCAGGTTAGGTTTAGGTTTTGAATGTCGTAGGTTAGGTCGGATTTAGGTTATGAAGCTTTTATAGGTTAGGTTATAAGTTGTCAAAAAGTCGTAACCTGCAGGCTCTACTCATGAACTAAAAGAAAGCCATAGAATTTCATTCGTTGAATGAGCTGAAAGTCCATTAAGACTAAACCGAGACGATTAAACTCTTTCATCTCTGACGAAAAGTAGTTCTCATGATCAAGCATGCTGTATTAAAGTCATATCAGGTCGCTGTCTGATAAAGTTTGGTAGATGTCTAACAGCACGCAAATAGCGGTAACATGTTTCCCTCTCAGTGCACTGGAGTTCGCATTCAAAGTTGTCGTGAAAGATAAGGGATGTAAGCGTTGTTTAGGAGACGTCCCAACTTCCGCAACAGTTAACTTTCACTAATTAACTTAAGTATATTTAAGTTAACTTTACTTTATTTTATTTTGTCATACCCTTTTAAAAAAAGAGAAGATTTTTATTTTAGAAAAATAGATGTTTAAACAAAGAAAAAACTGATTTCTTCAATCAAGTTGGTTGCATGTTAACGGTGTCGTGACCGTTACACGGGATACCTGTTTTGCTTATGTAAATGAGCTCATTGAATTCAACTCATTGAAACAGTCGAATAATTATTCAGAAACCCTTGCATCAATTGTGTGAAAGTGTATATCACAGTAAAAAATATTGTGTCTCATTTTGTGTTGTAGTAAAATGTGGCGCAGCTCCTGTGAGGAAATTGTGTCGCAAAAGAATGTGTCGCATATTTGTGTCACCATTACTAAGAAGTTTTTTAGACACAGTTCTTGAGACCATTTGAGGATCTACTCTGTTAAAAAACTTGCTAAATTTTATGTTTTACTATTTTCAATAGTCTTTATTAGGATTTTTCTCGGCTTCTCTTCAATTCTGATGGGCTATAGGTGGCGCTAATACGTAAAAGATAAGAAACTTTTCGGGCTTTTTAAGTTCTCTCAATTTTACATTGATGTTATGCGTGGCTAAAGATCCCTGTCTAAGTCTTTTTAACCTTTTTTCTATGTTAAACATTTTTTCTTTGACGAAAACTAACCAATCCGAGGTCTTGACTACGCTATTAATCTCAGATCCGGGAAACGGAATATTTTGAAGTCCTTTTATATTGAAGGACTGTGAATATTACGGGCGGATTGAGCTCGACGACATTACTTAGTGCACCCAAAACGAACTGAAAATATTCTTAAAATTGAATAAGAGATCAAAAAAGATCATGAAAAAAAATTATGAAATTCACCACTAGTTTTAGCGGTCTTTACATTTCAGAAAGATTCGCTGTTTTTAACATGAAATTTCACTTACCTAGAACATTCTTACATAGTCTGATGTTTATTTTAAACGTCGGACAGGAATTTTTTACGGAAAATGTCATAGGCATATAGTCCCAAAAGTATAGTAAAATATCGACAAATTTCAATCACTTTTCATTTGATATTCGCACAACAATCGAATACACTTTCTACTTTGAATTGAATAATAGTTAAAAAATATTTTTCTTATTGAATTAAACGTATCTTGTATATTCCAGGAAGAAACAGATATAGCCGAACGTCGTCGAACAGCGGCTAATCAATTAATGACCGGTTTTCGTAGTGAAACTGTTCGATGGCGTCAAGAATTGAACAATATGAAAAATCGTGAAAATCAATTATTAGGTAATTGTTTATTAGGTGCCAGATTTTTAGCCTATTTGGGACCATTTACATTTGAAATTCGTGAAGAATTATTACATAATCAATGTAATAATTGTATTGATTGATCCACAAATGCAAGGTCTAAGATGGATTAAAGCAATGGAATCAAAATCAAATTTAAAAATATTATCAATGCGTGATAGAGATTTTTTAAAATATATTGAATTAGCAATAAAATATGGTTATCCTATATTATTTAAAGATAATGATGAATACATTGATCCCATTATATTAAATATTTTATCAAAAAATATTCATAATCAAAAAAATTTGTTTGTTAAATTAGGTGATAAAGAAATTGATATTGATCCAAATTTTCGAATGTATTTAACATCACGTTTACCAAATCCAAAATTATCAACGTTTCATTTTGGTCGTTCAATTGTCATTAATTATACTGTAACATTAAAAGGTCTTGAAGAACAATTATTAAGTGTTTTAGTAAAAATTGAACGTCGTGAATTAGAAGAAATGCGTGTGAATCATTAATACAACAAACAAGTGAAAATAAACGAGAACAAAAAATATTAGAAGATAGTCTATTAAAAGAATTAACAACAAGTCAAGGAAATATGTTAGATAATATAGAACTTGTTGAAACACTTGAAAATACAAAAATAAAAGTAAATGAAGTTTCACAAGCTCTAAATTTAGATGAAAGAACAAGACAAGATATTGAACGTTTACGTGATGTTTATCGTTCAGTAGCAAGACGTGGTGCATTACTCTTTTTTTCATTAAATGAAATGTCATCAATAAATTCAATGTATCAATATGCATTAAACTCATTTTTAAATGTTTTTGAATATTCGGTAAAAACATCACAGACTCATTCTAAATTAGAAAAACGTTTAAAATATATCATTGATAATTTAACTTATAATATTTACTGTTATGGTACAATGGGTATGTTTGAAAAACATAAATTATTATTTATACTTTTAATAACATTAAAATTAGAATTAGATAAACAAACGATTGATTATGATCAAATTGAATTTTTCTAAAAGGAAATATATCATTAGAAAAATATTCAATAATAAAACCAAATTTTTTATCGTTAACAAATGAAGCTTGGCATCATTGTAATTTGTTAACAATACAATTTCATAAAAAATTTAATCATATTTTAATTGATATTAGAGAAAATTTAACGGAATGGATACAATGGATTGAACATGAAATACCAGAAAAAATTGATATACCAAAATCATTTAATCAAACATTGAATGATTTTGAAAAATTAATGTTATTAAGATGTTTTAGAGTTGACCGTATTATATTAGCCGTTAAGAATTATACTATAAAGATTATGGAGGAGAAATATATTATGCCATCAGTAATTAGTTTTGATGCTATATATGAACAGAGTTCATCGACAACACCTGTCATTTTTGTTTTAAGTTCTGGGTCAGATCCTACAAATGATAGACAAAAATTAGCGAAACGAAAAGGTAATGTAGACTATGATGTCTTCTTTAATCTGATAATGACGAAAAGTTTAAGAGAAGAATGAGTGTGACAGTAACTCCATCTATGTAGTTTAAGAGTCTGCCTATCAGAAATCTATTTCAGTAACTACAAGTTTGATCTGGAATAAACTTTTGACGGAATGTTGACCATGTCAAAATATAGTAACGCAGATTTTTTTCAACTCCGTTCGTGAGACAGTGGTCAGAATGGGGTTGCGACGGTTTTCCAAAGTTCTCACCCACGAGGGAGGTTCACCAACTGTCGAATCGCTTTTGAGATGAAACCTAGTGGGTGATAGCTAATCGCTGATGCTGATTCCGAATATCGATGTGAGACGGGTAGTTAGGCCTCGAGAGATCCGTTTTCGGGAAAACCAGTTTTTCAGAAACTCTAAAAATCACCAAATCTTTCTTAATAAGCTTTGATTAAATGAGCCGTCTCCCAGCTCTACACGGCCTTTCTTTGCAAAGTTATAGAATGTACAAGAAAAGCCCTAAATTAAGTTTTTCCTTAATTTCTGTACCTTTGAGCTGACAATGAACATTTAGGGTTTTTCTTGTAAATTCTATAACTTTGCAAAGAAAGGCCGTGTAGAACTGGGAGACGGCTCATTTTAATCAGAAATGTGTGGGCTACAATCAGAGCTTATTAAGAAAGGTTTTGGTGATTTTTTAGAGTTTCTGACAAAACTGGTTTTCCCGAAAACGGATCTCTGGAGGCCGAACTGCCCATCTCACGTCGATATTTGGAATCAGCATCATCGATTATCCATCACCAACTAGGTTTCGTCTCAAAAGCGACTGGACAGTTGGACCTTTTTAAGATTCTATGTTGTTGATTAACATAAAATATTTTTTGTTGAAAAGTCAAGTTTTTCAGAGGAACTTGGTGTTCGTTACCTTCCGAAACAAAACTCAAGAATTTGACTCTGTATTGTCAAAGCGACAACATTTCTCTACAAAACAAAACCATTCTGAACTTTTAGCACCTAAACTGGGTGGGAATTTTGAGAGACTCTTAAAACGATAAAGAGAAAAATCGGTTTTAAGATATGATAACGCCAGTGTATGATATAAATTTTAGAACTTTTAGAATATCCGTCTTAATTGCTGATCAAGGTGTCCGTCAGAGGTAGGCGATGTCTCATATTAACCACAAATATTTGTTCTACATACCAGTATCATTTAAGTCTTATTTGATTCTGGCAATTTACTAAAATATTATAATTTCACAAAAATCAGTTTTTTTAGACTTTTTCTTAGAAAACTTCTTCTGGGACTTTTGTAATGCTCACACTTTCAATATCTTTGTTATATGAGTATACAATAGACTAACAGATCACTAAGAACGAAACAATACAACAGTTCCTCAAGGGCAATTCGTGGTTTAGGAGCGAAAACTGAAAAACAGTTCCTCTTCAATAAGCACGAACTAAGAAGCAGTTCACATTAAAAGAACAGAAATTATGAGCTGTCACAGATCCAAGTTTTTACCTTTTCTTCCGATACGTCTTGTTCAAATGTTATAAGGTGCCCGCAATTCAAAATTCTGCAAACCATGAGATTCTGCAAAGATGAGATTCCTCACTGTTCTATCGACAACTTCGATTTTTTTCGAAATTCTTCGTCGCCGCAATTTTCACCAAAAAAGAAAACTATGCAAAAATTCCAGACAGATCTAACCTGACTCTGATTTTTTTATGCTGCTTCCCGAATCTCATGTTAGTTTTGCAAAAAATTGAAATTTGAGTATATTTCTATATTTTTCGCCATTGATTTAGAATAAACAAGCTTTCTCGACAACAGAACAAATAAAAGAAAAAAGCGCTTCATATTTTTAAAGCTCGTTTAATGGCGAATCTGCTGAAATAAAAAAGTCGGCTTCATCTCTTCCCAAAAAAACCTAGATAGGTTTGCAGAATTGCTTATCAACATTTTACAGGCTGAGTGGGTCCAAGACGTATATACTGGATAGACCTTTGATTTCCAGCGTCATTCGCACACTCGGTTTTTGACGCTGAATTTGAAAAAGCACTTTCAAAAAAGTTAGAAGAACGAGAAAGAAAAGAATGTGAATTTTTTTGAAACTGAAGGGTTTGCCGAAATTTTAGAATCTTCGAATTTTTTGCAATTTTTCTTCCTGAAAACATATTTAAAAAAATTAAAAATCACGTTTTCTTACTCAGCTCAGTGTGCTCTATCCAGAGATGCAACCGGTCATACCACTGTACTGGGACCTGTCAGCTTATGTTCAAAAATATGCTAAAGAAAGTAGATTTAATAGCATTTTATACTGCGCAAGAAAATTCAAGAAAATAATTGCATTCATTATTCTTTGCTTGAATTATTCATATTTTCCACGATCTCAGAAGAGTTCTTAGAAAATCCTAGTACCGGTCGACTACGGTCAAAAGTTTTTGAAAAGTTGACGGTCAACAGATATCTGCCCGATACCGACTACAGTTTTGTTGACCGGTTGCATCTCTGACTCTATCCGACCATGTATGTATGCACCCTGGGATGTCTGTATGCAGACATCCTGCTTTCTTTAATATATTGGTCTATTATTGCTCAATATATTGACTTGATATGAATAAAAGCTTTCTAAATTTATAGAGTATATGTGTCACATATATAGATGCTGTGGCTGCAAAACAAAAAGGTGAATAATCGGACCGTCGATATATCGAGTAATATTTTGGGCAAGTTCGATATATTGGGTATGATATTGGGCTATCTAGCTTGGATTCTAGTTTACTTTTGAATGGTATGACTGATGTTTTTACTATATTTTTACTAATGCTCATATATTTTAGGTATTACTACGTCTCGTTTTGTTGGTGTTTATCTTCAAACAGTCGAACAATGGATTAAAATGTTCTCGCTTATATCCGATGTGAACATCGATTCTTACATCATCAATATTTTCTAAATTTATTAAATCTAGAAAGCTAGAAATTCAGTAATATAATATTTTAGCTTTTTTAAGGTAATAAAATTGTGGATAATTGTTCAACAAAAATGGATATATCTTGAAAATATATTTTTGGGTATGAATGTTCAATTGGGAGATGAAACAAAACGTTTTGATACAGCTGA